TCCTGCACCTGGGATGGGGTAACCCCCAGTATCAATACAGCCTGGGGGGAGAAAGGATTGAGAGCAGCCCTGCCGAGAGGGACTTGGGGGTGCTGGTGGATAAAAAGCTGGACATGAGCCGGCAATGTGCCCTGGCAGCCCAGAAGGCCAACCGTACTCTGGGCTGCATCAGGAGGAGCGTGGCCAGCAGGTCGAGGGAGGTAATTCTGCCCCTCTACTCAGCTCTGGTGAGACCTCACCTAGAGTACTGCGTCCAGCTCTGGAGCCCTCAGCACAAGAAGGACATGGAAGTGTTGGAGCGGGTCCAGAAGAGGGCTACTAAAATGATCCGAGGGCTGGAGCACCTCTCCTATGAGGACAGGCTGAGAGAGTTGGGCTTGTTCAGTCTAGAGAAAAGAAGGCTGCGGGGAGACCTGATTGCGGCCTTTCAGTACCTAAAGGGGGCCTATAGGAAAGAGGGGGAAAACCTTTTTAGTAGGGCCAGCTGCGTTAGGACAAGGGGTAATGGTTTTAAACTAAATCGGGGTAGGTTTAGGCTAGATATAAGGAAAAAATTCTTTACAATGAGGGTGGTAAACCACTGGAACAGGTTGCCCAGAGAGGTAGTGGAGGCCCCATCCCTGGAAACATTCAAGGCCAGGTTGGATGGGGCTCTGAGCAACCTGATCTAGTTGGCGGTGTCCCTGCTGACTGCAGGGGGGTTGGACTCGATGACCTCTAGTGGTCCCTTCCAACCCAAAACATTCTATGATTCTATGATTCTATGATTCTACCTACTCTGGAAGCATGGAGAGTTGACAATGACTGATACTTTTTCTCTTAGTGTAGCTGTAAGAACTGTGTAGACACAGCCTGTGAGGAATGTGAATCCTGTCTTTTGTTCCCTGCAATGGGGGAGTCCACACTGAGAAAAGATCTGACAATATTCTCAGTGTTGCTGAAGAAGATTATCTGGGGATAGAGGCTGTGGAGAATGCCTTTGAAGACTGTGACTGTACACAGACCCACCTTGGATTTGCTGAAGCTAATCTGTACCAGATGCCTCCTGAATATGTGTGGATGCCCGGAAAGCCAGTTAGTGCTGAATGGCAGGTGCTAACTCTGAGACAGGCACCTCACATGTGGCTTCCCGTGGCCAAGAATACTTGGTTATCTACTGCTTGTCCCAAACAGAGACCATAACATGGTGCCACAGGGAACGTTAGTCTCCAAGATGCAAAACCTCCTAAGTTATGAAGTATTGGTTATTGCAAAATTTCTTGAGCTGTCGCACAAGGAGCAGGTACAGTGGCAGCTGCAGCAAGCAAAATAACGGCAGGTGGGGTGTGTTTGCAGTCTAGGCAATGCAAAGGTAACCGATGTGTGCTAGGCTTGTTCTGAGCAACGTGTTGTGGTTAGGTATTGTGGTTAGAGCAGACAAGTGCTGAGTGTTGTGCATGATGCATAATAGACAGGGCTGTGGTATGCAGATTAAAAAAGTGTGGGATGGATTTTGCACTAAAATATGCTTCTCTGAGTGTGAAGAAAGGATGAAGCTAGTCCGCTAGGAAAGCCCTAGCTTTGACCTGCATGCCAAAAGCTAGTCTGCACCAGTTGGCCTGTATGAGAATCACAAAAAATGGAAGTTAAATTGGGTTCTCATAGATCCCCATGAGCCACCCAAGGCATCCCTTTGTGCCACCAGTAATTTGCTTTTTGTTAGCATTTCTCTGTGGAGGAATGCTTCCTAGTTTCAGTTATCTTCACAAGTGGAAAAATGCAAGTTTTTACAGATTATTTCCCTTTCCAAGATGTTCCTTCTGAGTAAAGGTTTCTCTAAAAATCCACCTGCACTTTCTCCCACAGGCAGTGAGTGCCAGACCTTTCCCCTCTTGATGTCCTCTGCCCCTATTCCTCAGCTCTGAGCAGCCACCTGAAGCTTTAGCCATCAACTTTACCACGTATTCACCACCTCTGAGGCATCCACAGGCTGATGCTGTTTGCATGAAGGACTCAGACTCCTCACTATTTGTATTTGGAGACTTCATTCTTCTACATGTAACCCCACTTTGTAAATTTCCACACGGAAATATTTATGTTTGTATCTGGAAGTTAAAAGGGGAGCCTACTTACTAGGAACTGAAGCTCTTCAAGCTCAGGTATTCACACAAGTGCTTCCCTCCTGCCCTTTTTCCTTCCGATGTTACTGGTCACTTGGGGCTCTGTGGCTGAGAGGCAACTGAATTAGAATGGTCCACTTCATGTGCTCTGAGCTGGAGGGAAGGCAGGCTGAGCGCACTCCACTGTAGTCAACGTGAAAAGATTCCTCCGGTGTCTGCTTACACACACCTGTGGTACCAATGAATACGTGGATTTCACATTGGGAGGAACTCTGGTTACCGGTAAACACTTTTGTTATCTTTACATCAAGTCTGAGTTTAAATTGTTCTCCCAACCTCATTTCTTTCTGAAGATTTTTTCTGTTATATTCCTGCTAGCATTCTGTACCTACACTCCTTTGAATCAAACAAAATGTACCACTTCATAATGCCTCCAAGACTAATATTTGCATATTATTTATTGCATGAATAATTTTCTTTAGAATTCTGAGTGGTTTTCCTGGATTTGCTGGTTACAGTTTTATTGGTTTAAGATGTGATTATACTGCAGACTGCCATTTGCTCATCAGAATTAATTTATATGAATGCTAGTAGATTAGTATAAACTAATTCTACAGAAATTCAGATTATAAACTCATTCTCCTATTTTGGTGTAAAGAGCATATGTTCTAAAGCCTTTACCAGTCACTCTCAGAATCTTGGCCAAAACCTTCTCTTACGCATACAAATAATCCCATACCTTTTCTTATAAGAAGTTCTTGAATTTTTTGAAGAATAGTTATTGATTAAAATAATTAATGGTTAATAATCTTACAGGAAAAACAGAAATATCTCTTATGAGGCCCACTGGAGCATATTTGAAGAAGACAAACTTATGAGAACCCTTAAGTGAGCCATTACATTGAATACAATATGAAATATGCATTTATTAAGTGAAAACCACATTTCCATCAGAAGATATTGCATCAACTAGCAGTAGAAGTAATTGCTAAAACTCTGACGCCATAAACACATACCTAGTTGGGCACAAGCTTCTGAGCAGAGCAGAGCCCATCCATTTAAGTGTTGACAGAAACATGGGAATGATAAATATAGTAAATAAATAAACAAAAATAGCGGAAAAATGTTTTTGTTTTATGCCTCTGACCACACTTGGGTATGATCAGTATCACATCTCTGTTGATTGTCAGACTTCCTTTCTCTATTGCAGTATTACCAGCCATATGATTCATGAGTCATATCTAGTCCTTTGTACACAGAGCTCATTGAATATTCAGATTCTACTAAGTATAAATTATCAAGTAAATTAATTTTTTTTTAATCCTGTTTGCTGGGGGGTGAAGGGAAGGAACACAGACTTTCCAAATTTGAAATTAATTCAGTCCTTGCAGTGCTGCACCCCTGAGTCTGTCATGGCTTATTGTCCTGAAAACAATAGCTCTGAGAGGTGTAAAATGACCTGTTCTCCTTTATTCTTTTTGCTCATTGTTTTATGGTAGGAAGGTGAGAAAGAGGGGTGGCTATGAAACCCAAGACCAATGTCGCTGTTTGCTGAAAGAAAGTATATACAGTGGGGAGGACAGGTCTAGAAGAGACACAAAACTATGTTGAAGGCAAGGAAAGGAGTATGGGAAAAAAAAAAAAGAAAGGAACAAGAGAAAAGCAATTATATAATACTAAATCTTCCCCATTAATGATGCTGAATTGTGACAATGAAGCATTAAAGAGATTTTCAAAAGCAGTTAGCTCCATTTTGAGACGGCCTAGTTAAGTGTTTAATGATGCAGATAGCCCCCCTCTGGGATTTATAGAAGTCTCTAATTGCCTAATTCCTCCAGGAAAACTATTACGTATTTTGTGTTAAACCATATAAACACACATCATGAATGTGTTCCACTGACAGCAATGGGTGGTTCTGCTGTAAATGCTCAAAGTGTGTAGTCCAAAACAGTGAACAGCTCACGACTGTAAAGAAGGCTTTTCTCAAAATGAGCGTCACGCTCCTTCATGAGCTGGATGGAATCACTTTCTTGCGCTCCACTGCAGAGCACAAGTTTCTACTTTCCCACAGTACCATAAGCAACCGTTTGCTGAGGCAGCAGAGAAGAAAAAACAAAAGGCAGCCAGGAAACATACACAGAGCGGGGCAGAATGGGTTGTATATGAGATAAACTGGAGCATATTTGTGGGTATTCTTTTGTGAACCAGGAGTTCAGTCTCTTATAGCCCCAGGTAGGAAACAGGAGGAAAAAAAGAATAACCTGTAAAAGGGATATTCTTTTACGCAGGAGATATTAGTTGAAGAAATCTATCTCAAAACATTTTTACTATTTTAATTGGTTAATTAAAATAATTGCAGTTGACAGCATCCCTCTAACTACATGACCATTTGTAGGTGTGTATTTTATTATTTTTTGTTTTGTTTCCTATGGGGACAGACTTACGCAATTGTTTAAAGTGTAAGTCAGACTTTCCTTCTCTCCCCAAAGGAAAACTTTGGAACTTGCTCGGCTGAATAGGAAAGAGAGTAGAAGTTTCAAGCATAATTAAGTTCTTACAAGTTTCCTGAAAATCAATGGAAGGAAGATAAATTAATGCCAACGCTGTGGAAAGGACTTGGTCATTATGTACTACCATCCTCAGCAAGTCATAATGAGATGGCTTGAGCTTACCCACCACTACCAGAGGCAATGGTCCTGCTCTCCCTTCCTTTTCTGTCTTTAAGCTGCATGTTGTCTCCTCTCCCTTTTTGGCAGCTCTTGCACTGATGGGATGCCTCCATGAGCACATCTAGTTGAGCCTGAAGTTCAGTGGCAGCCTAGACCAATCTAACTGCTGCCTATTCTCTGCTCCTTCATTTTACATATATTTAAATTTATATAATACATATTTATAAAGAGGAAAACTCCTTCCTCTTTCACTTCCCTTTCCCTGGGCAATATGTTCCTGCCCCTCCCTTCTACCAGTCCTGGATGCTTTGTCATGTCCTTTGCTGAGTCATTTCAGCATGATAAAGTAGCAGAAAATTAACTTGGTGAAAAAACAAAAATAATAATTTTCTATTTCTCCCGACACTTTTGTACCCAGACAGCTCAGCAAAACATCCAATGAGCAGCAGAGAGACTGCAAAGGAGAGGGTGGAAGGTCTGAGCAGAGGAGAGGACAGGATAACTGCCACCCTTCACTGCTAGTTTAGGAGCGGGGAAGTGGGGAGAGAGGGAGGCCTTCAGCCCCCGGTGCTAGTGAGCTGCCAGCTCTGCTCAGCCACTCACCCATCTTATGTGACTTCACTTTTGGTCATTTGGTGGCAGCCAGCTGGCCCCCCACCAGTGTGTGTGCAGCTCCCTGTTAGCCACAGTATGCAATGCATCATGTAGGGAGTGTCACGCTGACTGTGGGGGAAAGCCAGGTTGTTGTGATGGGAAAAGGAAATCCAGCTCATCCTTTGCTCACGCAGACACTTGTTTTAATATAGGTTGCGCTAAACACAAAAAATGAGGCCTGGCTCAATAGTAAGGAGTTTAGCAACCTAGAAATTGGAAAACAGATGTGCTGTGAACAGTACAGATGGGTATGACCCATGATCATATGTTTATTTCTCTGATGTGCTAAGTTCATTTCCTGTATGTATTGTGAAAAAAAAAAAACCAAAACCAAAGTGGTTTTTAAGAGGAAGTTCGCTGAAGAAAAAGTACTGGTTTGGTGAACTGGGATGAGGGAGGACAAAGCTGTACGTTAAACAAGAATCAGTAACATGGGTGCCTGACCTTCACTGAAGTATACAGAAATTTCTGTCTCATACCAGCTGATTTAATGATGCTGTTCTGCATCAAGCATTGTTGAATACAAGGTTCTTCACAGGGAGGCAAAACATCAAAAACCCCTGTAATTCACTCCACTGTTTGAGCAGTGCATTCTACTAATACATGATGTAAGACTGAGGAAAATTATTTCCTGGCTCCAATGAGGGAACATTTGATGTGCTCCAAGGCTGATAACACTGGAAAATTTGGGGCTTTTTCCTCATGTAACTGTACTTTCCTGGCCCTTTCTTTTGATTGGCTCGTGTTCTGTGTCAGCTTCCCAGAATGAAAGACTTTTTTCTTTCCTTCATTCAACTTAGAGCAAAAAGAAATGTTAAATAGGGTTAAAATACCACACTGACGACCTCGCACAATGCTCATGTTTTTCAGATTAAATTGTAAGATTTTGAGGCAGTCTCCCTTCAGCTTTGGAAGCAGTCATTGATCAGGGAATCATGGCCAATTCTGAAAACTTCTGGATTTTTATTGCATTTTTAAAGAGAATTCTTGTTTTATTCTGCTGGAATAAATTAAAATATTCATAGATACTGATTTCTATCCAAAGCAATGAAGCTATATGGTAAGAAGCCAAAGTTAGATGTTGAAAAACTATAAAAATATTCCAGTCTCTATATGATTAAGCCATTTCAGATTTTTAAATTATAAACAACTGTTTCTAATGCTTCAAAACAGAAAAAAAAGCTGCCCTGACCAATGGTTAAAAACATATGGTTTTAACAGGCAGTGGATAATTGTAAATACAAATTTGCTTCCGGTTTCCAGAGCTTGCCATGAAAAAGCTTTCTTACCTCCTCTTGCCTACTTAACTCACCTACTGCAGAGAAGTAGTATATGTTACACTTTGTTGGCAGGCTGTACAATAAATGACCAGTCATCTCAGTCTTTCAAAAGCAAAACTTAAAGAGATACTTAAAAGCTTTTTGGACCTGCTTAAGCTGATCACATTGTTGTAAAGGGTTGTCAGGCTCTGGAATGGGCTGCCCAGGGAGGTGGTTGAGTCCTCATCCCCGGAGGTATTTAAAAGAAGGACAGATGAGGTGCTTAGGGACATGGTTTAGTGGTGGGATGGCAGGGTTAGGTTAAAGGTTGGACTCGATGATCTTAAAGGTCTTTTCCAACCAAAGTGATTCTATGATTCTATAATGAAAACCTGTCTTTATTTTTTTGATTCCTTAGAGAGTGATTCTGATGTGTATTCTCACTCTCTCTTCCTGCCAACTTTTATGAAATGTAGTATTTCTAGTTTACCCAAAAACTTTTTCAAGGAAATTTACTACTTTCACAAAATGAATAGTTGGTATTGGTAAGACTCTAAAATGATGGCTCACTGTCCAAGCAGTGATACAGGAAGAGGTTACTTCTGAAACACAGCAGAGAAAAAGGAGAAAAATATTAGGTCAGGAAATCAGGTATGTTGTAGAAAACTCTTAGCATTATGTGCTCTTGACATTGTAAACTGGCATGTATGATGTACTGTAGTATTCAGCAAGTCTGGACCTGCAAGGCTAGTTTCAGTGTCTCTAATGACAATGATATTATCACTACTTTGTTTGAATTTTCTAAAATTTATTTGTCAAAATTCATTATGAAAGATGTGTAAAATGTGCCTAGAAGATGTGTCCATGGCAGTGCCTAGCTTTCTTTCCACCTGTAAGAATATCAGAAGATCGTTCAGTTCAACACCTGTCACTTCATTCCCCTTTTTTGGTTGGAAGTAAAAAGTAATTGGTTTGGCAATGTAGGATATGTGGAATACAGATATCTTATGTCCAAATTGCTACAGTTTGCTAGTTTGTGTTTATTTAATCACTTAAATACTTTGATAATGTTTCCAGCATAGTCCAGCGGATTCTGCCATGAAACATGGTAACAGATGTTCTATATATGTTAGGTGACATGTCATCTCAGCAAATTAGCTTCCCTGTTGTTTTAACACTCACCGTTATGACACCTCTGCACTGCAGACAGGGTAAGAGATAGCAACTTTCAGTGGCAACAGCTCTTTCATTAGCATTTTCCTAACAAAAAGATAGTCTGTCTTTTTTTTTTAAACTAAGTAATGTTGCTGCAACATATTCATCTATTGCATGAGATAAACCTGAGTCACAAATAAGAAATCAAAAGAGTACATACCATCACACATGATCCTACAAAGTCTTATGAAGAGAGAGTATTTGTCTGTGTCTAAGATTGAATCTATTCAGTGCCTCAAATTAATTTTCATTCACATGGTGAATAAACGGTAACAAATGCTTTCAAGAATAACGTTGAATTGTGTGAAATATTAGCTGTATAAAGTCTTTTTTGTGGGAGGGTTTTCAAATTGTTTTAAAAACAACTTCAAAGAGGTGTTGATAGTGTGTTCATAATGTTTGCAAAAGGACATCAATAATACTCTAAATTCCAATGCACTGGTACTGATTAGGGACTAGAACAGGCTATCATGTGAAAAGTACAATGTGTGGCACTGGATGATCCTGTTAGAATCAAAGTAGATTCACCATTGAAAGTAAAAGTGTGTTTGTTCTCTGAGTTTGACTTTTGGAATTATTTTTCCAGGCACTCCTCAAATTCCCCAATGTATTTCTCTCAATTAATATGGCTGAAGTTCACTTCCCAACCATAACGTCTTAAAACCTGAGGGAAAGACTGTGGAGTGAGACAGCGGCTTGAACGAGGTGCTGGTATTGTTTACAAATGTTTTGCTTCTGAAGAGTGTTTCTGAAATTAGCCTGAGTGCTACCTGTGAAGATAAGCCAACAATGACATTTTCACATAAACTGTTTGCTCTATCTGCGAATGTCTAAAATATTTTATAATCTCAGGAGAGAATAGTGCCATTTGACATCATACAGTCATTAACACTGTCAAAGCACTGAAGACAGATCTCCAGCAATATGCTAATAAAAACCTGGTAAAGACTAAAAATGCTTGTCAGTGAACCACAGCATTTCTGTCAGCAGCCTTCTGCTGGCATATATTGATGCTGTATTCAAGAAGACAGAAAGAAAAGTTATTAGCTGTTTTTATAAAGAACATTTCAAAGAATAAAAAAGGCTATAATACCTAAGTTATGATAGAGCAGGCAAGCTGTTGACAACAGTCACCACAAGAGGAGGAGCAGATAGAAAGGAACGATGCAGCAGCGTCTATTACATGTGGGGAAAAGGATGCCAATGCATTTGCACAAGAGATGATGTCAGAAACTGATTTTACATCCTACTGCCCACTTGCCAAAGGACTACTCCTTTACACCTTGCAGAGGGAGACACCCCTCCATATTTTTCCCATGTGGCATTAACATTTCCAAAATTATTCCCGTGTATCAATAAAATGGATCATAGACTCACCAGGAGAGGGTCTGCCAGGCTACTCTGTATAATTTGGTTACCAAAGTAATTAATTTCCTCCAAAGAAGGGGGAGTATCCAGGGCTGGTCAATCTGTTCCATGGTTCCTTTGTTATCAGGCACTGTTTATGAATAAAGAATTAGCTTATTGTATTAAATTAAAGGGATAAATATTCCATTGCAACATGAAAAATGGAATTATGAAAACAGAAAACACATTGCCTATGCATTTGCATCCTCATGCTACTTTTTTGGTGTCTCTCCTAGGACAACATCAAAGAGAGATGCGGGCTGATTGTAATATATCTTAACTTTTCCCAGAAAATTTTTTTGTGTGCTTTTGGGTTTTTTGAACAGAGGGTTGATTCCTACTGCATGTCCCAGACCAGTCCAACCTCTATAGGGCTCCACTAGCAAGTGCAAACCTTTGTAAAAGACACGTCGAAGTGAAACTTTTGTGCACAGTGCATGTCCACTTATCTCTAGCAGTTCATCAAGAACATACTAGGCGGAAACAACAGCGGGCCACTTTGAGAGTGGTTCTCTCTTAGCTGTGGGTAGCCTCCCTGTAGGTGACCCTGCCACCCGTGCCATTTCGCACCGAGGTGGCACCGTGGGAGAAGGGCTGGGTGCAGGATTGCGTTTCTGGAAAAGCTTTTCCTTCGCGGCTCATTATCTTTCTAGGATCGGCCTCATGAAGTCAGGACAGAGTAAGGGTCTGTATGACCACCTCACCGTTGGTGGACAAGCTCATTTCTTCCAGCAACGCAATGGAGCGTGCGGACACCATCGCTAAAGCACTGAAACATGTGCATGTCCAAGCAAAACTAGGGACAGCCTCCTGTTGGCCCACCTCACCGGTGCAGCGGAGGACTTCGGGCAGGCGGGACAGGAGCAACCTCCGGCTACCAGGGAGCCGCGGGGGGGCGGCGCAGCCTCCAGCTGGAAGGATGAGGCTTGCAGCCCCGGCCCTCAGGCCCGACTGAAATGCAAGTCT